CAAGAGATGACTATCTATCAACCTGTGTACGAATGAAACAAAAGCTCAATGCATAAAATTGATGGACAAAATTTTAGAGATAATGAACTTAGGTTTCCAGCAATTCACTTATCCAAGCACCCTGAACACTGAATCCAAGATAGGAAAGATTACCACACGTATTAGGAAAACTAATAGCAAGTACAGAAACCATCAAAATTAGTAACAAACAACAGCTAAAACAAGTCTATATTTGTCTATTATGCAGCTGTAACAAGATGGAAGAAAATTTCAAAGATGCCCACATAAATCTGAGAACCAGACAGTTATGAACCATTTTTAATGCACTTGAAATATCTATTCATAGCCACAACTAAGACGAACATATTAAAAAAATCGAAAACAATAGTCCAAAAAATAAATAAACACTTTAAACCTAATCATTAAACCAAGTCCATAAACAAAAAGTAATCAAACACATTAAATCAGTAGCAAATGAGTATCACGTGTCGAGACATGAAACCACAGCTTCAGCAACAACGCAAATAGCAAACTCCATACACTCAAAATCTCGAAACAACATCCTTTCACCGGATATCCACGGATTCAAGCACGAACAAACCCGAATTTCTCTTTCAAACAAACCAGTCAGTTTACCAGACAAATACAGACCAAACCGATTCGAAGTGTACGAACAACGGACCTAAAAGTTTCGCAAAATAGATCGAGTGCGAAGTAGATCAAACAGTAACGAGCATGGAGTAAGAGGTATTTTACCTTGAAGGATTTATACAATGGGGAGGAAGGAGGGTTCTGCTCCTGCGGCTAGGGCGCAGTGGGAGTGAACGACTTAGGGTTTCGTCTATCGTATGTTGAAATCTGGCAGCCGTTTCACGGATAAGTGAAAAAAAAAAATTGGGATATTTATAGCTCTAGGGTTATAAGCAGACCTAATTTATTTATTTATTTATTTATTTATTTATTTTATATGGTGATGGGCCGAAAAGTAATTGAATTTTTTTACCGTTAAATAATTTCAGCCCAATAATACTTTCGGCCCAATATTTTAAAATAATAAAATAATTAATTAATTTTATCTAAAAAAGTTCGGATTATATATACCTATCACCGACACGGTAACCGAATGTTTAATAGCTTTACACTTTGCTTAAGTATTATGAATTGAAACTTTAACGACAATATATGTATTAGTTTATTAGTTTGATTGCAGTAATTAAATTGAATTTCGTTTTAGCGAGTCATAATTTTTTCGGGCGAAAACAACATTATATATATAATAATTATATTTTTTAATTAGGGTAAACATTATATGTTAAAATATTTTATTGATAATATAAATTTTGTTGTTTTATATTGTATTGTAAGTTAGTAATAACTGTTTTTAAATAATTTAATTATTAGTTTTTTTGTTGGATTGTAGTAATTAAATTGAATTTCGTTTTAACGAATCATAATTTTTTCGGGTGAAAACAACACTATATATATAACAATTATATTATGGGTAAACATTATATAAT